CTGGGTCCTCTCCCTGGCTGTGGGAGGGGAATGGGGGCTAGTGGTGGTGCTGGGGCGGGGGGGAGCCAGGACTTCTGGGTTCTCTCCCTGGCTCTGGGAGGGGAGTGGGGTCTAATGGTTAGAGCAGGGTGGGTGGAGAAAAGCTGGGAAACAGGTTGCCAGTTGCCAGCCAGAGGCTGATTAAGAGCTGGCTGGGGAGGTGAGGAAAATCTCAGTGTCACCGTAGATCCCTTGAGCAATACTGCTCCTAGGAAAGACAGAGCCAGTCGCCCACACCTGTGCCGGCGGAGACCGGATCAACCAGCCCAGGCAGGGATTGGGAAACCGCCACGTTTCCCTGCCCCCATTATACTCCAACGCTTCCCAAACAGTTAGGAGCAACACGCTCATCGAGCAGCACTTTCAACAGAAGTTAGAGAAAGGGGAGGCTGAAACTCCTGCCATTTCTAAGGCTCACACACATCTAAAATGAACATCTTGTATACGCCGATGCTTGGCCAATCGTTAGGTGAATATCCTTCCTCGTTAAAACCTTCATTAGCTAAAAACAGGCAACGGGATGGCTGAATGTGGCCGGCATGTCTCAGGAAAAAAATAAATCCAATTTTCAAAACACCTATTATGAAATGAGTATGTATCCCACCCGAAAGCTGGGCTGAGAGGAGAAACAAAATGCTTTTCTCTAAAAAGTTATTTCACTCACTCAGTGGTTTTTAATCTGTTTTCATCTGTGACCCCCTAAAAAAAGAGAGAATGTGGATGCTCTGAAAACCTAAACACATGGTCTGCCAGCACCCCAGGGGTGCACAGCACACAGGATGAAAACCACTGAACTAAGCAACAAGAAAAAAGAAGAACAAACTGGCCTGCTTTGTCGAAGGTAAGAATATCTCATAATAAGAAAAGCTGTCAGACAAAATCCACTTATTATACTCATACACTTGGCTAACAGCGCGGAGAAAAATGCTCGTTTCTAAAACGGCTGATTGCTTGTAGTAAAACAGAACCAATGACAGGGATGGCATCTTTGTATTCCTCTTTTCATGGCTAAACTAAAGAAGAGGGAAAGAACATTAAAAATGAATGCAGCAATACAGACATTCTGGTGAAACCCAAAGCCAACGAGAGACTCCTAAAATGCCCGAGGCTCGGGGGGAAAGGAGGTGTGGCCATGGGGGTGAATTTTGAAGTGATAGTGGAGGCGGTGGGTGAGAGAGAAACTCCCCCAGTGGGTGAGAGAGAAACTCCCCCATCTTGTAACCACCGGGTGCGAGAACCATCAGAGCATGGAGCCCTAGTTTGGATCAGCAGCTACGCTGGCAGCTGGATGACACGGACCTCTCGCACCCTGACCGTCCCATGACAACTGAGTGTCTGGCAGGGATGGGAAGGGCTGCGGGTTACCCCAGCTGCCTCTGCACTGTATGCGACCTCCAAGGACATATATGTATTCATGTGGAGCACAGCCAACCTGCGGAACTCACTGCCAGGGGATGCCCTGACACCTAAAGGATCATGGAGCTCAGAAAAGCACCAGATATGCTCCTGGAGATCAAATCTGTCAACTAGCCAAGGACACAACCCCACACTTGGGGGAACCCTTAACCTGTCACTGCTAGAAAACACTGGGCAAGATACACCATGTTTTGACCCCAGCCGAGGGTCCCAAAACAACAAACTTTTTTTTTCCTCCCCCCCAGTACAGTCAGCCACAGGCTTCCTTATCCAGCCAGGCTGGCCCATGTTTCTGGTGGGGGTGAGCCCACAGAGCCACCGTCCTGGCTGTATTTCCCGCTGTCCATCAGTCCATCCCTCTCCCCACAGCTTGGAGAAAAGCGTTTTGTGGCCCTGCCCCCCACCCCCCAGGTCCAATCGTAGCTCGATTTTCACCAAAGAGCCCCCAGGAGTCCTGGGGGTCGATATGCAAATGAGGCCTGGCCCTGTCAGCAGTTCCCCTCCCTCACCAGCGGGGGGGGCAGTGAGCACCCTGAGACCTAGGGGGGGCCAGGCCGGCGTGTCCTCGGTCGTGTAGCCCAAACTGGACACTTTGACTGGGCCCTAAACCCCCTACTGACTCCTCTCCCCATAGCTGGGAGGCCCCCTTCCCAGCCAGGCCCCCTCACTGCAGCCGGCGTGTCCTCGGTCGTGTAGCCCAAACTGGACACTTTGACTGGGCCCTAAACCCCCTACTGACTCCTCTCCCCATAGCTGGGAGGCCCCCTTCCCAGCCAGGCCCCCTCACTGCACCCCACTCCCGGCCCCCCACA